TTGTATACAGTTGTAAGGATGATTTTCCGTGCACATGTGCAGTCCATAGTGACCAAGCAGGTCAGTGTTCCCATGTCTGTGTCCCTGTCTCTGGGGGACCTCTCTTCCAGTGAGTTGAGAGCCTACCGTGGTCTCCTTGAGGCCTTGGGAGCACACCCTTCTTGAGCCAGACTTCAACCCTGCTGACATCCATTTGTGTGTGTGGTCAGCAGAGGCCATATGGCCATCAGAAGCTGCATGGTCAGTTGGGGCCACATAGTCAGTAGGAGGTCCATGTGGTCAGCAGAGGCCGCGTGGTCAATAGAGGCCACGTATCTGTAGGAGGACTGAATGATCAGTAGAGGCCATGTGGTCAGCAAAGGCTGCATGGTCAGTAAGGGCTGCATGGTCAGTGGACATCTGCATGTTCAGCAGTGGCCACACTGAGGATTCCACCCCCCAGCAAGTCTGCCGGCTTCCCTCTGTGTGGCTTCTCTGTGGTGCTCAGTCTTCTTTTCGGCCTCTATCCTCAGACACAGCAGCTGAAAGCTGGGAAAAGGGGCTGCTCACAAAGCCCTCTCCCCTTTGCTAGTTTTTATCCAGGAAAGAGATTTTCCCAGAATCCCCCTGGAATTCTTGGCCACCCTTCTGGCCCAGCAGGGTCCCATACCACTGAGCCATCCCGTTCATGGTCCTGCAGAGGTGGTGCAGAGCCTGGGCAGCCTGGAGCGTGATGAGCCCAGGACTCCCTGCCACAGAGCCAGCCTCGGGCTGTGAAGGACAGAGCAGGTAGAAGCTGCGGGGGCTTCTGAGGAGGCCACAGATGCTGCTGCTTCCTCCTCATCTCTGCCAGTTCCGCTGGCTGGAAGTTCAGAGCAGCAGCCTCATGAGCAAGTTCCATGGCGCTTGCATTGCTATGATTTTAGTTTTTAACCACTGCAGCCATGCTGAATCCCCATCAATGGCTCAAACTGTTGCTGGCTCATCGCTGTGGGCAAGGGGTGGCACCCACTTCCTTTAAGTACATTGCTGATCCTCCACGGCCCCACAAGGAACAACTCTTTCAGACAGGAAGGGGAGCACAGCTGGAGTGGGCCCCAGGAGTCGTCCAGAGCCTGCACAAAGATGGGGCTTCTAGGCCCGCGCCCATGGCCAAGGGGTGCAGCACGCGCGGCACAGTCATTGGGAGGTGGTGGTCTAGAGGGACGCCTGAGGCAGGAGAGCAGCCCGAGGACCTTAGGGACGAGAGGCAGGGACAGTAGGGAGCTCCTCAGTGGACAGCAGGGGTGGGAGAAAGGCCCGAGGCAGGAAGTCACCAAGGCTGCAGTCACAGAGGAAGTGGGGCAGAGGGAAAACACACTGCACCACTTCCTGGAGCACGCTCACTGGACAGACAACTTTATAACCACCCAGACCATCAAAAGCCTCTATGAAGAAGCACTTACCTCGTGCTCCAGTCCGTCTCTGACCACGGAAGTTAGCTTTAAAGCTGAAAGGATTTCTCTGTAAATCAGAGTCAATCAGTACTTTTACAAATTCTCCCAAGCTCTTGGGGAGGAATTGGTGCCCACGGCCACAACATGTCCTGCCCACCTGTTACATGACCTGGGCTCACTGTGGCTCTGGGGAGGTGGAAAGCTCCAGTGAAGCCGAGATGGGACCAGAACGCAGGGCATTGATGCAGGGGCCCTGGGGACATAGAAGACAATGCCAGTTCTCTCTCTGTGACTGAAGCCTTCGTAACGGAGGTTAGAGTCGACCTCTTGTGATTTCTCTGGCCTTGGTTATTTTTCTTGTCTTTTGTTCCACTTGCTTTGTGGAACGTCAAGCAGTCTCAAGAGACTCCTTAAAAACATGAGTTCTATCCAGCCACCTATTGATAACAATCTAAGCATGAAAATGTTTTAATATGGATGCATTCAATCAGCCTTTATTGCGCTATCATTGCATGCCAAGATTTTGAGAGTTGTCTTTGATCTTAATGAATTGCAAGACAAGCTTCCATCAGGCTTGTTTTCAGCAGTGAACACCAGTTACGGTGAACATGATAGAAATCTATTTTCTATCCCATGAAGGTCTGCAGGCCGATAAACCAACTCTGCTTCGCCGGGTCCCTAAGAAACAAGTTTTCTGGCACTATGTAACTGTAACTGCATTCTAGACAACAGAATGAGGAAGTAATTTTAAAAATAAAAGAACCGTGATCTTCTAAGAAAGTTTTTGCTAGGCCAAGTTTTTGGCACACAATGTCTGCACTACTCATGCAGAGCTGGTGCTGGCATGTAAGACTTCTTCATCCCTCTCCTCATCCTCTTCCCTCCCCCATCGCCTGATCTTCTCTGAGAAAGATCTGCTCCTTATTTCCTAATTGCCTGCATTTTATTTTGCTCTTTATGATACTTTGGGTTTCTCATATAAGAGAAAAACCACATATTTAAGCTTGTGTGCGTGATTTATCTCACTTTGTATTATGGGCTCAAAGTGCATCCATTTTTCTACAGATGACTCAAGTGTACACTTCTTTATGTCAGAGAAATGCTCACTGTGTGTAGACACATTTTCTTACCATTCATCTGTTGGTGGATACACAGGTCACTTCCGAAATCTAGCTGTATCTAATGACGCTGCTATAACATGCCTGTTTTTTATCACTGTATGTCTTCAACTCTTTAGGGAAGATACCTAGAAGGGGACTAGCTGGGCCAAATGAAATTACTAGTTTTAGTTTTTAGAAGAATCTCCACACTGTTTTCCGTAGTTTACTAATTTACATCCCCACCAGCAACACAGGAGGGTTCCTTTTCCCTCTATGCTGACCAGCTTGATACGATACCACTGCTATTATCTGCCTTCTTGGGTGTCCTTTCTGCACTAAGATAGAATCTCAGTGTTGTTTTAGAATTACGGTTAGGGTTAGAGCTGCTGCATGACAGCTCCATGTCCAGAACTTAATTGTACTGCCTTGACTATCTACAAAGGCAGGATAGAAAAGGCAGTGTTTATTTGGAATCATATATTTGCTTGCTAAGAACTATGAGCTTGATTTCCGTGAAAGAAAAGGGGGCAAGGTTGTTGATGGAGGGGGGAGCCCTGCTGCAACCAGAACCTGTTTCACAGCAACGAGGAGCCTCCGGGGTGACATGTCCTGATAGCATGTCTGGTTTGCATCACAGCCAGGGTGTGACCGCCTTTCTTCCTCGTCCAAGTTCAGCACTGGTTTCACTAGACAACAGCCTTCACAGTTTGACATGTGAGATGGCTCCTTTTCCACAGTTTCCCCCTTAGATTTGACATAGTGTCAGTGACATGGTAAAACGTGTTTACAAGCAGGCCCAGGCAGTGAATGAGCCGCAGCCCCAGCCATGCCTTTAACGTTGGTTTTCTTCTTTAGCGATCTAGGAATGTGGGAAAAGCCAGATGTTAATGTCTAGGTAAGAGTCCTGTTTTCCTCTTTTATTTCTGTCCTGGGCTGTTTATCCTGATAGGGACAAGTACACTTTTTTGCTTCCTTTCTGCCCACTGCTGTACACTAGGTACCTGGGGGCTCCATAGGCAGTCACATAGATGCCCATTTGCTTTCTCCTCTGCTGAGATCCTACAGACAAAGCCATCCAGCACCGAAGTTTCCACAGCTATGTCATCTCTGCTCATCATGCTCACCCCTGCTAAACTTCTGGAGAGGAAAACCCAGCTCCATGTGGCTTCGGAATCCTGATGACCAGCGCTGGCTACCTACAAGGGCCTGGCTTCCCCAAAGCCCACAGTCACCTGAAGAGAATGGCCTCCTGCAAGTCCTCCAGTCTCCCATCCCATCCCACTGCAGGCAGCCACAACAGCTGCCCTTCCCAAGGAAAGTGCACCTGGATCTGGGCCTGGACGCCTCTGCGGATGGATGCGTCCTCACCAGCCCAGCACAAGCAACTCTGCCATGGCTTCTGACATCTGGAGCTCTCCCCTGGACACCCAATCAATCATCAGGTCTTGTAACCACATGAAAAAAAGGTCATGTCTGCCAAATGGCCACAGTTTCTCTCCTTCATGTTTGAAATGTTTTCTTATCAACTTTCAGAAATAATGTGTAATATAAAACTTCTCAGAAATGATGTGTAATATAAAACCTTCCTTCCATCCTTCAGTGATTTTAATTTGTTGCAAGTGCCAGCATTTCCAATGAAGAGATTGATGGGAAAGTTCAAGAGCAGACCCCTCTTGAGTATTGCCCCAGACCCGGTCCTGTGGTCAGCACCCCACTGCCTCCTGAAAAGAGGACGCTGCTCACACAAGCTCAGCATGGGCTTAAAGTGGACAGCAATGGGGCACCCGTGGCAGAGGGAACTAGAGCGCCAAGAGGGCCTCTGCTGAAAACCTAATGCCTGAAGTCCCAGCCAAGTGGTTTACGATTGGCAGCAGGTCTCAGGAGGGTACCCAGGGACACATGTCACCGTGCTAGTGACAGCACTGTGATGGTTTTGAGCTTACGTGTGATCTCATACAGTTTCCTTCCCTAAAAACACTTTCAGATAATTCAGGTTGGATGAAGACCACTATCTAGCAGGAGAAGACCCAAATGACATAATCATTTATTATTATTGAACCAATTGATAAAAACTTAATTTTATTTTGACCAGGTCACAGAAAATACTTCAATGGAAAATGATTGGAAAGAAGTCATTGGGTTCTTTTTTCTAAATGTATTATGTTGTGGGAAAAATATCAAGACTCATTTCAGAGGATCTTTGAAAGGACTGACTCTGTGACAATTGACTCTCAGAGCCAAGGATATAACTGAGTGACCCAGAAACTGGCTCTATCTTTAATCTTAGCATGGGCTTGTTGACTTTAAATTCTTTTCTCGTTACATCCAACGATTTAATTTGCTTCTTGCTTTATCTCTTCATGTGATTCTTTAAATTATTGCATATTCCTGTGGTAGTATGAAGATGTCTATTACAATCTCTAAAAGTTTAAATGTTCTATATCTTTGTTTTGTCTATCAAATATCTTGCATTAAAAAGGAAAACTTTTTCTTTTAAGCTCATGTTTTTTCTATTTAGCTCAATTAGTCAACAAAATTAAAAAATTGAAAATAATTGTCATGACAATATCCGTAATCTTAAGCACACCGAATACATAGTAACCTGGATTTATAAGCTTTATTTCCATAACTAGCTCTCTACCCTCATTTTAATAGTTTTAAAGCCTTTTAGTATATTCTCATTACTGAAATACAAAAAATGCAAATGTTTTAAATGTAAAATTGCCTATTGTTCCCTTTAAGTCAAAATGAAATCACAGTATTTGACAATGATACTAGAAATACTCTTAGCAAAATCTTGAAGCCATTCCAGAGAAGAGGCGTGCTGCACTGCCCCCCAGTGCGCTCCTCCTCTGCTGGGTCTCGCCAGCTTGGCCTTGCTGCTCCAGCACGGCTGGGACCAACTCTGACCGATGCACTTCCGGGACGTCACTTCCGGGACGTCACTTCCGCATTGAACGGCCGCTTCCGCTTCCGCTTCCGGCGGCGAGGGCTGGTGAGCAGGTGCACAGCGGCTCTCTCCCTGCTGCCCTTGCTGCTGGTTTCCGCGCAGCGCTGCATCCTGCTGGTCCGGGACGGAGGGGGTGAGGGTGCCATGAGTGATTGCCGTTGCCTTCTACCAGCAGTAAGAGTCGACTTTTTCCTTTTACCAAAGCAGAAACTACCTTGGATAAAACAGGAAGCTCAAACTCTTACAATTTTACTATTTTTTTAGGCTCTGTGCACATTTACCGAATACCATTTATGATGCATGTCTCATTTTAAGAAGACTAAAGATTGTACAAAATATAGAGAGATACAGAGAAATCCGCGAATCTGAAGCTCAGGAAAAATATTTTTAGTATAAAATATAAAATATTTTTAATATATAACAAATATTTTTATATATAATATATATATAATTGCCTATTTTTGAAATAGGCAATTTCAAAATTGCTTAGTCACTGCTTCATCGAGTTTTCTAATTATTAAGACATAAATTTGCACGTCAAGGAAATAAAGTGCATATAGAAATGCAGAAAAAATACAATTATTCCTCAGACATGATTACATAATCATATTAATATTTGCTCTTTCTTGCCAGTCATGTATATTCAGTGTGTGCATGCATTTACAAATTTAATAATACACTGTGTGAATTAAAGAGTTAATTAAAGAGTTAATTAATTTGGTAAGAACCAAAAGAAATGCATTTAAACATTCAACTGAGTTTGTGAAATGGCTTTACTTAGCATAAATATGAAGTTAAAACCACTGACAAAATTAATTACATTAAACTTTAAACTCATAAATGTGGAAGGTGCATCCTAAAAAGAATATGAAAAAATACACCCATGTAGTCTAAATTTAAAACTTGTTTTCACAGAAAAACAAATAATTACTGTGCAAGAAAAAAATGGGTATTTTTGTTTTGAATCTACTTACAGTTTTATACTGTATGATGCTCAAAATACAGATTTGATTAAAGTATATGACTGAGTCTGAGGCAGGTTCGAGTACAGGCTGCAGCACCTTGGCAGAGGGGCTGAAGGGCAAGGACTGCGATGCTGCCACCTTGTTTGGGGCAAGGTCCGACTTCTAGCAATGACCTTGAATACGAAATCGGAAAAGAAGCTGAAGCACACAGTATGGAAGGGGCATCAGCACCAGGACCTCTAAACCCGTGCAGGTGCTCCAGGAATTTACCCCCAGCCCATAGGATAGCTCTGGGCAGCGAAGCCAAGGCCAGTTCCACCTGGTGGTGTAGCTAGGGCTTCTAAGAAGTGCAGCATTGAGCTCCAGACTGGGATGCACTGAGCATATACGTTGAGGACCTTTATTTCCTAGAGTTTAGAAAACCTGACATTTTCTAATCTTCCAAAGCTTTCCACAGCACCACCTTATTTGAAAACCCTAAACTTTTGAAATAAAGGCAGCAAGACATAGCCAGGCCAATAGAAAAGTGTCAGTCTCCCACTTGATGTGCTTCCCTTTATCTGGGGGAGTGTGGGGCCTCCCAGAACACAGGAGTAACTTAGATAAAAGATAAATTTCAAAAGTAATGATTTTGAAAAATCCATATGACTAAAACTGAAGTCATCATTAGACAAATCCATTCGCAAGCCCCAGTGGAGCTGTGCGTTGTAGGCAGTGAACAGTCTCCTGGGTCTGTATAGATTAAACAGCAGAGCCAAGCCAGCAGCCCTGGCTCCTTCTGGGCCTCCTCTTTGGCTCTGAGAGGGGCCATCTTCTCCTGTGTTTCCACTTCTTTCTTTGCACATGTCTGTATACAAATTTACACTTTTTATAAAAAAAAGATTCCACTAAACTGGAGTTTCCCTGAAGACCTCATTTACCTTAATTCCTCTTTAGAGCCCGTTTTCCAAATGCACTCATGTTCTGAAGTACCAGGCATCAGAGCTTCAACACAGAAAATTTGGCAGAGGGGGAGGGGCAAGGCTCAGCCCAAAACAGATGATTTCTAAAGTTTTAGGTGCAGCCGTGGAACGGCAGGAAAGGGACGCATCTGAAAGCTGTTGGAGGAAGAGATGCAAGGAGCACAGTATTCACGTGCTCGGCAGTGGGTTGTGACCAGGCCCGGAAGCAATCAGAACAAAGACCACAGGTGGGGGCTGCCGGGTTCCCTGGAAAGGCTGTTGGAGGAATGGAATGCTTCCAAAGACACACCATTTTGACAGTGCAATGCCCTCCAGTTTTGTTTTTCTAAACTTTGTGCAAAAGTGTGTTAGATATTGAACACATTCTATAAGGGGCATCACAGACGACTTGGTCAATGAATACTATAATGGAAGACAAAAAAATAAAAATCACAAAAGTAGTAACACACATGCAGGATGCTGTGCTGGGTGCTGTGCAATGTACCACCTGTATGTGTGGCGCTGTTTACCCACTCACTGAGTTTATTTGAAAAACATGTATCAAACAGCCACCACACTCTGTACAGAGGAAAACCCTAATTCTCCCTAAGAAGACCCTAAGCTATCCTTCATGTTCCCTAAAAATGTGTGCCATTTTTCCTTAATTAATTTAAAGTTTTCAGGTATCTTTACCAAGAATTTCATCCTCTCAGGCTGAAGTTCCATGTACAGTCACTCATGCCAGCCCCAGACCACGGAGAAGCCAGCGTGCTCCCGTCCTGTGAAGAGCAGGTCACTTCCCCATACGAAGCATTCCTCCGTCAACACACCAGAGAACTCGCCTGCACTCCCGAAGCCCCCACCACGGGACCTGGGTCACCCGCATTCCCGCGACTTCAAAGGGAACTTGGAAGAGATACGGTGTAGAAACAAGACGTTGGCAGGCGTTGCACCAACACATCCTCAAGCCACAGTGTGTTAAAAACACAACCTTTCATGAAGCTGAGAGCCAGCAGATGATACTCAGCATTTTCAAAGAGCCTCCCAATGGGCTAATTAAATGTTATGAGGTCAATCAGTATTATTAGCCTCATTGCACAGATAAGACACTGGAAACACAGAAAGGTCAAGTGATGTGCCCAGGCATTCCGAGTTCAACAGCAGCACCTTGGTGATGAACTCCAAGGGCCAGCAGCCAGGGAATGCTTCAGCCCTGCATCCGAATCCTCTCAGCAATGTTCCCCCTCATTAGACTTTATCAGTGGCCATTTATGAGCATTTTTCATAGCTAGTAGAGGTGTGATTTAACTTTACACACACACACACTGCAACATCTCACCAAGTAGCTCCTCACCCAAATAAGTGTATCTGAGGCAGATAAATTTCTGCTGAATGTGGATTTCTCTCCATGGAAAAATCTAGAAGTAATTTGTATGCTGTGCATCTGTGGGATTTTTGTCTGTTACCTTATTGATAAATGTGAGGTGATGAGTTTCCCATCACAGTAGCACAATGAAGAGCCTTGAAGTTTTCATAATTACCTAGAAACTTATCACTAAAGAGGTCTTTTAGAATGCTACTAAGCCAGTCTGCCACCCTTATAATGACATAACCAAATCTGTAGCCTCACACAAAATTGTTCAATTACTGCCATGATTTTGAATATTTAGTATTGGCTTAAATGTCATCTTCTTGATAGAGCAGTTGATGTAATAAGGTATAATTTAAGCTGGTTTTTACCGGGAACCAACAGTTTTACTTAACTGTGCCATCAGTCAGCACAACTACTCTCTAATACATACTAAACTCTGAAGCCCGGGTGTCCATCCTGTTCGATAGGTCTTTAAACTGGAAATTGTGTTGTACTTTTTAACCTAGTACCTTTCTTTCATCCCTGCATTAGTCAGAACCCTCTGCTTGCCCTGACCCTGGTCTGTTGGAAATCTGTCGCACACTTACTATGCTTTTGTTAAAAGGGCTGCATTGTTAATGTCTATTCCTAATAAATATGGAGTAAATCATATTTGTTCAACCTTTGCTTCAGTAAGAGTCATGGTAAAAATAAGTCCTTACTGTACATACTCTGCTTACTTTGCGGAGATTTTGGCCTTGATTCATGGAGGGCATCAGAGTGAGAGGCCTCCGTCTCAGCCCTTTGGAGTCACACGTGAGGACGCGTTTCATGAATAAGCTGAACGATTGCTGACGTGGTCAGAGCTTTTCTGTTATCCAGACTGGTTTGTACATTCTGCCGGGATGTGTGTAAATCCTGAGATCTTCCAGCTGTGATTAGTGGCTTTTAGTGTGCACAGCCGCGCAGTTTTGAAGTCAGTGTGGGCTTTCTGAGCTGTCCCTGTGCAGGAATGGGGCGACCCCTGAGTAGGTTTTGTGGCTACCTCAGACTTTTTTGCTGAAAACTTACACATTTACTTTGCCATTGCTTGACATATTTTCTTACGATAAATTGGATACTTTAAACGTGAAGTTAGTGTGGGGAACCACTCAGGCTGCGTCCAAGGACACCTGAGGATGTGACCTCACCTGTCTAGCATAGGCGCACAGTGGGCTGCACTTATGTAACCATGACTCAGTGCAGGTAAACAGCATGCGCTGTTACAGTACAGTGTGAGAATGTAAACGTGGTAACACCTGCGTACCAATCATAGGTAAAGATGCAGGCGGCTTTGGCTCCGTGCTCTGCTGTGCTCCATGCTGCCTGTTGTTACTGCTGATGTCTTGCACACAGGCGTCGTTTAACCTTGGGCCCTCACTCACAAAACCTCCCTTGGACTCCCTGAGCAAGCTGGCAGTTATTAAAAGGCTCATCAGTCACCTGGTCATGGTGGTGCACACCTGGAATCCCCAAACCCTGGGAGGCTGAGACATGAGGATTCCAAGTTTGAGCCCAACCTGATTAAACAATTTAGAAGACACTTTTTAATTAAAAAATTAAGAGCTGTGGTGACAGTGTAGTGCAGTTGACCCTGGTTCAGCCCTAGTACCACATGTAACAAAAAGGAGAAGGAGAAGAAGGAGAAGGAGAAGGAGAAGGAGAAGGAGAAGGAGAAGGAGAAGGAGAAGGAGAAGGAGAAGGAGAAGGAGAAGGAGAAGGAGAGGAAGAGGAAGAGGTTACTAATTAGTAAACAGTGGTTTCCACTGAGAATACATGTTCCTAGAACAATAAACTCTGCTTCATGTAAGGCGGCCCTGGGGTTGGTTAGAGTGACTGCCTGGAACGCCCCGTGGAGCGTGGGGTGCACAGCCATGAGTAGGAGCCACAGCTCTGCCCACTCTCGCGCTGGGCTCCTTGTGGCTGGGGCGAGTTCAGGCTCCGAATGTCACCCAATCTCTGAGCAGTGCTGACCGTTGCTGCGCAGGGTGAAGGGAGCTTGGACTCAGGATACTCAGAGCTCTGAGCCCACGGAGCAGGCACCCTGGAAATGTGCCCTGTCCTCCCATGAGCTCCGTGAGATCCAGGCCCTGGCTGCTCCTGTTCCATGTGGACATGGACATCTTGTAGGAAGACTCGAGAGACTCCAGGCACTGTGGGGGCTTGCAGGACACCTACACGCACCTCGAAGGAATAGTCCTTCTGAAACCGCATGCAGGCTGAGGGTTGGAGCTCCTCCCCACCCTTCTCCCTGTCACACTCTGGGTTCTAGAAGTGGGCTAACTCACCTCACATACCGGAGTTCCCCCCTCTCCCGCCTCTTTCCGTGCATCCCACCTGTGAGGAGCCAATGCGGATTATAGACAGCCGGATGGCACATGGCAGAGACTTCACTGCTTAGGCGGAACAGCTCCATGATTTGTCAGTATCCCTCAGCGAGTAGCTGGCCACATGGAGGTCCGTCCTCTCTGAGTGTGTGACAGTTTCTAATCACCTCAGGAGCATTTCCAGCTGTATACTGCTTGGGATTGCAGGAGTTGAATTAGTCAGATGGTGCCGTAGTCAGGGTTAGGGCTACAAGGGGAACAATACAGGACACTTAGTATATAGGATTATGTTGTGAAACGCACCCAAAGAGTCAAATGCAAAACATACAGGAGATGTGTCCACGCACCAGAGACCCAAAGAATCCAGCTGAGGGCCTGGGTGCCACTGCAGTGGCCTGCATGAGTCCAGGTGACGATCCAGAGCCTGCATGGCAGTGTTCTCCACAAGTCCAGCTGGAGGCCTAGAGCCCACAACAATAACTCATCAAGTCTGTATCAAGGATCCGCACCGAGAAGGCTCAAAGATCAGCAGTGGAGGCCAGAAAGTCTGAACCAGTGGGATGAAGGGGCTGTGCCAGCAGGCTGAGAGATCTGCGCTCAGCCAGGAAGCAGCGCTCAAGATAAGGACCAGGGTTCCTCCATAATGAACCACAGCCATCCTCACCGACAGTGAGGACCTGAGCTCCTCCGATAATAAGAACTGAGTTCATGTGAGGAAAGCCAGCAGGACACACTTCTCCAGGAGACTCACAGCCCCCAGCTTCCCCTGCGGTTCCCCTTGTATGCTGTTGGCAGTAAACCTCAGGTGTGCCTTCCGCACCCAGCGCCACACTGACTCAGTTCAGCCCGGTGTTACAAACTGAACACCAATTGTCAGTCCACCACACATGGTTCCATGCAAACCTGCCAGATGACAAATGCCAGAAATAATCAATTAATGACTTTCAATAACTTTTATTGTGGCATATTGCTAACATTATTTGTTATTGGTCATACTGTTCATCTTGCATTTACAAAGTGAAAGTCATCACAGGTGAGCATGACAAGAAGGGACAGATATTGAGGGTTTGATTCTATCTGTCCCGCAGCATCCACTCTGGACCTTGGCTCCTGTCCCCTGCGGATAAAGGAGGACCCCAGGACAAAAAGCCACTCACCCATGGGGGGTCAGATTGGGCTGTCAACAAGAGCCACCCTCGCCAGCTGTGGCCTGGGACAGCCTCACCCCATCACTTCTCTTTCTCTGCCTGCCCCACTGAGGCACGCGTCCCCGTCTTAGTACTCTGCTGTCTTCTGCACTGCCATGTCCGAGGGTGGCCGGGCTCCAAGTGGCCACTGAAGGGCAAAGGGTGGCCTCGTTGAGGTGGTCCGTGTCCTCTACTGCCACTGCCCACTTGCACGATTCCCAAGAGGAATGCTGCTCGCCGGACTGCAGCAGTCCAGCCCAGCGTCTGGAAGAGGAGGGAATGCATTGCTCGGCCAGGACACACTGTTTACGCTCCACCAGGGCTCCGTCTGCAGCCGCCTCTGACAGCCTCCTGCAGCCTCAGGGAAACACAGTCCCGGAGAGTCTTCTCTCCCAACCGAAGCTTGAGAACACTCAGCATCAAACAATAGCTCAGCCATATTTATTATCTTAAACACCATCCAGAAAAGCATTTAGGAAATTATATGCTAGGAAAGATAAGACTCTACCCTATAATTTCAGGAACAACCATGTCAGGCTGCCAGATAAACATTTACAACACATGCAGATTTAGCTGAACTTATATGACTTCAACCAGTGAAACTGCTTCCAGACCTGAAGGTCACAAAAGCCATTATTGGTTTCCTGAGCCCACTGACACCTTCCTGTGGGAAACTGGATGCCACTCACACCAGGCTTCCTGATGAAGGCATTCTTTCCTCATCCCCTCTTCTCCCTGTTCACGGGGCAACACATTCCCACCCCCCTCGCTCCGCCAGCCAAATCCTCTTCTAAGATTGAGCTGACCCTGGGGCCACCCCATCTTGCACCCTGTGAGGCTGTGCTGGGGCCTCCTGCCTGGGACGTTATGTGGCAATATTCAGCGCAGAACTTAGGACACTGGAGTGATCATGGGAGTTGCAAAGGATCCACAGCAACAGGCTCCCTGCCAAACACATGGTGTCAAGTTATCTGCCTAAACAAATGTGACAAGGGCTGGCAGTGCCCAGAGCGGAGCCTGCCAGTGAGAAAGAGTGTGAAGGAGACCTACTGCGCTGACCAGGTGACAGGGCCACGGTCACCCTTTGGCCGGAGCGAGTTTAAGGATGGGACTGACAGCGTGGCAGACTCTCGGGACTTTGCTCACATTAAAAGTGCCTACGCCTCTGCCCAACAATAACAATATGACAAGCATTTTCTTTCCTTACGAGCCCAGTGTCCGCAAAGTTTAGTCAGTGGCCCAGTGGTAAGAGCAAAAGGAGCAGGAGAAAAAGGAACCATAATTCCAGGGATTTTACCTACTTCGTAGGAAAAAAATGGTAAAAGTTAAATCACCAAGTCAGACTCAGAATCTTCCACTATACCCACTAAGGATAATATTTCTAGCATCTGAATATTGTGCTTCATGAGCCTAAAAACACAAAATAACAGTCTTTCCAAATCATCCTGAGCGAATTAGGTTTCTCTACGAGGAGAGTAAAATGTGCCTTGTGATGAAGGCAGGGAGATTAGATCGGTCCACGCGGCACCCTCCCGTGCCGCAGCGAGCTGAGTTAGTGGAGCCCAGTGAGGGCTGGCAGGCCTGCTCACTAACTCAAGACGTCTCAAGACTGTGATAAAACCCCCAAGATGTGCATTCCAGGGCTCTGATGGTTCAAGGAAGGCGGGTGAGCATTGGCCCGAGGGTAGGTGGAGAATTCCAGCTGTGAATCATCTGCCTGCCGGGTAAGAAGACTTGAGGTCATCTTTGGAGTTTTAACCTCACATCCTGTGTCTTTAGCTGTAAAAGGCCACCTATGGCTGAGATTCAGAGCTCAGTTTAGTGCTGGCTGTGCCCTTTTCAGTGTGCTCCGAGTGCTGTTAATGAATTAACTCTTGCGCCCCCCTGAAAGGCTGTTGAGGGGAACCGTGATTATCTCCACTTCACAGGTGCAGATCAGAAGGCAGAGAACTGGCCCGGGACCCAGATCTGATCCAATGTCCAGACCAGGGCTCCAGCCAGACAGCCCGGCTCCAAAGCTTGTGCCAAAGACATCTACAGCTATAAAGTGGCTGCACGAGCACCACGATCATGTGCACATGTGCAGAAGCTTGAATTCTGCTTGGCTGTGAGTTGTGAGAGAGACAGAGTGGGAAGTGGGGAGGCGGGGCCCTGGCCTGAGACCTTCATCTGCCAGTCACCTGAAGGAGCAGGATTAGAAGGGCAGGTGGTGCGTCATCAAAAGACATTTCCAACATCACAGAAAAGAAACATACATTCTACAATAATTTACTGTTTGTTCTATTTAAATATTTAATAATTTAAACTTTAATGTTTTAGCAGGCATTGGCTATTGTGAACCCCCTGGCAGGACAGCACCTTAATGCGGTGAATCGGGGGATTTGGGTAGTTCTTAGGCAGGTCCTTGCCGTGCCAGATCTCCGTTTATCTCAGTGGAGTTCGGCACAGACAAGTGAAAGAGGGGCCTTGCTTCTGGGTGGCCCAGCAATCCAGAGCGGTGTGAGCAAAATGATGGCAGCGTCTGGAATAAAACAGAAAGATAAACCGAGTTCCCAGGTCGAGAGGTGTATTTTTAACACACAGAGGGGTACCTAGAGGCCAGCCCTAGTTCCCCAGATGATGGGCTGCTTTCACTGAGACATTGCTTCGCAGACATCTGTCTCGTACAGCTCCTTGAGAGAGCTTCGAAGGCAACGCATCTGCTGCCCCTCGTGTGTTCCAGCCCCGCTCCTTGACACGCACACTGACCTCCGGCAGCGAGTGGACAGAGCTGCAGGCAGCTCTGACTTTAACCTCCAAGCACCTGATTCTGCCCACGACCCAGAGCCACACCCCTTCATACACACGCTAAGGATTCAGAATCCAGTAGAAGCCCCTTGGGAAGAAGACAGCCTCTGGAAATGAGAAGTGAAAAATCTCAGCACTTCCTTCCTTCTGACCGCTCAAAACTTCACCCAGCTCTCATGTTGCCACTTTAAAATCTGGAAATTCATCACCAACCATCCTCCCCTTGGTAAACACTGAAAGCCTTCAGTTGCAGCAGGGTTGCACCACAGCCCGCCTGCCTGCCCTCTGAGCCCCGAGCTGGGGAGACCCCAGGCTCATCCCTCTGTGCACCGATGGACAGATGCCAGCACACGGCTCTGCAGCGCAAGGGGCTGAGAAGAGAATAAATCATGAAAGAGGCACAATCTACTGCTCCTTATCCCTCTGGCTCCTGGGCTGCTCTGAACATCAAGGCACATCAGATACAGAAAGCTCAGGAATGATGGATTAGCTCTGATTCTGTGCAGGGAGACCTGGTAGCCCTGTCAGGATCGCTGCACACTATCTGCTTTGGCAGTGGGTTTCTCTCTCCACACGGTGGGGGAGGCCAGAGCCGCCATGGGAATCTGGCTTCTCCCTGGCTGGAGAGGGAGAGAGGAGTAAATAACTGACCGTGACTGGTGCTGGCTTTGGACACCCAGTGATTATTAAATGCACTTAGGCTTTCAGTAAATTAAGAGACTCCAGGACTCCCAGGGGTGTGCAAGCCATTTATGGTGCTTCAGCACTGGAGAGTGAAGCCTGATTTTTGTACCAAGTTTTATGGATCATGATTGAGAGCACGTGTCAGAGCAGGGACACAGAGAGCAGATTCAGAACACACACTGTGTGGAGACTGTGTCCAGGTTAGGATCATTGCAGTCATTGTAAAAATAATGTTAAATATTGAACTCAATAAAAATGATTGGGGAACAGAGTCTTTTCTGAATATAGCGAGATCAGAACCTAGTTTGATCCAAGTCTCCCAATGCCAACAACTAGGGTTACCAACTTCCTGCCCCACCCAGCCTGAGCAGCCACAGAGCTGATTAACTCAGAGACTCATGCAGGATAGCCGACCTGAGGGAGGGTGGACAGGGGATCTCTCCTCCAGTGAGCCGCACTGGTCAAAGAGGTCCATTGCATGAAGGTTGTGTCTGGCTTGATAGCCCCAGAATTTTTCCTTCTAGGATCAGCTTAGTAATAGGACTTTGCAGTTTTTAGAACAATAATTAAACGTCAAGCTCAGTGGTATGTAAGACATTATAAGTGGTAAAACAAGCTCCATCCTTTGAGCACTCTACTCTGTTATATCTAAGTATTAACCTTTCTTTCCCAGTAATAATGCTATCTCTGATTATAAAATAAATACAAAACAATTTGTTGTCAGTAGTTGGTCTGATTCCAGATTATTCTATCTTGTCAGTACCTAACAAATGTTTGAGCATCCAAAGAAACAAAGTGCTCCTGAAACGTTCTTTGAGCGTCATAAGCTGCATGAGGTAGTGGTTCCATCCGCTTAGGAACTGTTACCTCTGTTCTAGATGCCCCCAATGCCTCACGCAGTCACGGGGGGCTTGCTCAGAGGTGGCTGGATCTAGAGTGTGCGACGCCGGGACCCACTCACGGTGCAGTGCTAGGCTCAGGGGCAACAGGACTACAGGTGTGAGTGCGGCCTGCCCTAAGCAGCGTGACAGGGTATAAGGGACAGAAAGGGCTGCAGTGGCCCCTTGTTGCTCTGCTGCCTTCAGCTGGCCATGAACTGTGGCTGCCCTGTGATGCCCTCTTCCTGGAGCCAGCTGACCGTGGACTGAAGCCTCTAGAAACATGAGCCAGATAAATCTTTCCTCCTTTAATTCTGGGTCCTCTGAACTTTCACATGTGTGTGCACATGTGTGTGTGTGTGTGCAATTGTGATGTCCTGCCCACCGCTCCAGCTGACCACACACCATCCATTTCTTCCAAGAGGTCACCTGCCATACAACTTTTACTGTTCTGTTTTTATTATGCTAGGAAATGGGAAAGGGACAAAAACAAACAGGAAAATTGGGGTAAAACATCCTATGGCTGAGTCATCATGCCAAGAGGAAGAAACAGTAACTCGGGGTGGTGAAGCGGGCATTACCTAGCAGAGGGCTCCATAATGCCAACTTTAAGCTGTAAACATTTAGAATATGGGTTAGAGGTAAGGAACGTTATTTCCCTAACTCTCCCTTTCCCTTTTACTTTAGGGTTATTTGTTGGTGTTTTGGTAAATTCTCCTCAGTGAACTCTTTTGTCCTTTACTTGTAAGATTTCAAGGTCATATTTAGATGCAGCCCCATTACCTCGAGCCTTCATTTGTATCTTCGAGCCGGATCTGCATTTAAAATAAATATTTTGTTAAATCCAATAGCAACTTGATGTTGTTTTGTTTTCCCAAGCTTTGGTGTGAAAATCTTGCCGAAGCCTCGTGCAGGTCTAAATAAAACGGGGAGCCTGATCTCTGTGTTCCCAGTGCTTGTTACCTCCGCAGAGACCCGAGCTGGAAACCGCTGGCCCGGGCTCTGTGTCATTGCTTGTGTATCCCGTCACTAGCAAGATCTTTTCTATTCTTAGACTGGAAGAGAAAAAATTCCCAAGCTCTTTTTGGTCTGTTTATTATCTTTTTTAATGGTGCATGACTTTAATGAGATAAAATCAACAACATAAAGACCTTCAGCATCTCAATTTCTTACAGTGAAGCATATAATAGAATTTTGATAATGGCCTGAAGTTACTATCTTTCTCCCAAAATGCTAACCCAATGATACAAAATTGCCAACTCTTGCCTACGTGAGTAGGTCTTGCATTTGCAAGTCAGCCAATGGTGACCTCCAGGCAGACTTAAGGGTTTCGTGTAATGCACAGTGTAGCCACGAGGTTTAATTCAAACCCATGAGCTTGAACAACTCACTTAAAGATGTAATTTTAATTTTAAAAATAAAATTAACTTGGATGTGAAGCTACATTATCAGCCACAAGTCGATCGTGTTTATTTTCCTACAAAGTTGCCTGAGAACCACAGTGTGGCTCAATAAACTAAGAAGTCCTTTGGGTTTTTTTCTGTTTAAACAAAATCACATTCATGTTTATAAGTGATTCCTTATTTTTATTGTACTATTTTTAATGCTCCATTTTTATTATGGTAAAAAAAGGGCATGCTTGGTTTTTTTTTTTCAAGCAATATGTTTGTTATTACTTATGAAGAAAGTTTTATGCCTTGCTCTCTGGCTGAATTTTGCTTTCTGAGCATAAGAAAATTTATGAAAATATTACACATTTAATTCTTTTGTGTTCTTCTAATGAAACATTTTTTTCTATCTATGTTCTTCAATGTTTATCTGAAGTCACATCCCATCATGTAAAAGAGGGATTGGTTGGCTTATTTTCACAGCATTGTTTGACACTTAAAGGATTAGAGAAAATTTGATTTATGATCTGTAACATAAACCCAAAGTATAGAAATGAACAATATTCTGAGATCTAAATTCAACTACTGATATACGGATTTGGTTGATTTGCTTGGGTAATTTGAAATCCCTCTCCTCATCAAAAACAATCTGTAACTATTCTTTTTTGTGTGATTTATAGATTATGACATCAATATTTAAAAGGTAAATGATATGTGATATCTATCCTCTCAGATAAGTATCAAATGCCCATTAGGTCCTATTTTCATGATGTTTAAATTATTAGCCTCATGTTTGCATAGGAAAAGGGTAGGGTTTCTATTATGAAGAAACTAACAGATTCAAGCATGTTTTTTTTGGAAGGATAAGATTCATTGAATATAGAAATCTCTGGTGCCAAAAAGGTGATAGCAAAGATTGTATATCTTCTGAACTAGTATGTTTGCAATGATAGTTTAATGTAATGTGGGCATAATTCCAGGATATCCCAGTCGGTAGGAGGCGCTTGCATGACAGGCTGCCGGCCTCTCTGAGGGTCAGCCCATTACTCCCCGGGACCCCAGCCTGCAGCAGGCTCCGGCTGGTTCTCTTCCCAGGTAACATGCAAGCTGGGTTCCGTTAGAAGCAGGTTCAGGAAAAGTCAGTACAGAATCAGTGCAACACCGTGGTGCATATGCAGCATCCATCAACCTAACCCTCTGCATTAAAACATTTTTCCTGTAACTTTTTCTGAATAAAAAATAGAAAGATTTTCTATTTTGTTGCCTCTTAGTGATGATACATTTACACCATTCAGAAAAGATGTAGGATCCATTTCTTTCTCTTAAAAATGCACTAATAGTCAATGTACTTTAGTCAATAAAATTTTTACTATACTTGTACTTATTTGTGTGTATTTATTTTGGGTCAAGTTTCAACTTCCCAAGAAGAAATGTTCAGCCAAAATGAAACCCAGGCTGCCAGACTCCATGGTCTACATTCCTCATCCCTCCTCGTGATGGACAGGAAGATACAGTCGAATAGATGACAGGAAACTGAGGGGCTCCCAGGGGTGAGGACAAAGAGACCAACACTGCGGCAGCCTCCTCCGAGTCCCAGGAGGCAGAGTCTGCGGGGAGCAGCCCGTGGGCCAGGGTTCGGAGGAGCCGCACCCCGCAGGAGGAGCTGGGAGGGACGCTGGCTCCCGCAGGCACAGTCAGAGCTGTCCGGGAAGTGCCCTCAAGGGACGTGCCATGACGTGTGGGGTGAGGGAAGGAGACTGTAAGGGGAAACTGAGGCCTGTGAG